TGTTCTCCAAGTGTAATAAAATGGTTGTGAGAATATTAAATAATAAAGTTTAAGTTAATTAAAGGAAAAGGTATTTGCTATAATTAAAAGAATAAATAGATGGTAAATTTGAACCTAAAAATACATCATAGACATCAATGATTATAACTAAGACAGCAATTATTTCTTGTTTAAACAAGTAACAAATTATAATCAAACACACTCGAATCTGCATCGATAATTTAATGAATTTGATTTTGATTTATATTTTTCATTCAACATTATTTTGGGGAATTTTGACTATTTAATTTAATTTCTAAATAAGACCTACTACAGGTTCGTCTGTTTTTATACCCTACATTACTTTAGTAGGAAGGGTATATTGGGTTTGTGCTGATGTTTGTAACGCACAATAATATTGGTCCTATACCCACCTTAAAGTATACTAGTCGGCTTAGAATCACTTTCTGAGTCGATTTAGTTATGTCCTTCCGCCCGTCTGTCCGTCCGTCTGTCTATCTGTCCGTCTGTCTATCTGTCCGTCTATCTATCTGTCCGTCTGTCTATCTGTCTGTCTGTCTGTCTGTCCGTCCATGGAAACCTTGTAATCAAACTACAGGTCGCAATTTTGAAGAGTCTGTTAGCTATGTCCCTCCGTCCGTCCATGTAAACCTTGTAATCAAACTACAGGTCACAATTCAATGAAATTTGGTACATGATCTTCTATTGTCTCAGGGACGAAGCTTATTGATAATGGTTAAGATTGGTCCATTATTTCACCTAGCCCCCATACAACAGAACCCCCGAAAAGGGCTTGTAAACCTTGTAATCAAACTTCAGGTCGCAGTTTTGAAGATAATTCAATGAAATTCGGCACACGATCTTCTATGGTACCGAAGACGAAGCCAATTGAAAATGGTTAACATCGGTCCATTATATCACCTAGCCCCAATACAACTGAACTCCCGAAAAGGGCTTGTAAACCTTGTAATCAAACTACAGGTCGCAGTTTTGAAGATAATTCAATGAAATTTGGCACATGATCTTCTATGGTACCGGAGACAAAGCCACTTGAAAATGGTTAACATCGGTCCATTATTTCACCTAGCCCCCATACAACTGAACACCCGATAAGGGCTTGAATTATTTTCAAAATTGCGAAATGTAGTTTGATTACAAAGTTTACATGGACAGACGGACATAGCTAAATCGACTCAGAAAATGATTCTAAGCCGATTGGTATACTTTAAGGTGGGTATAGGACCAATATTATTGTGCGTTACAAACATCAGCACAAAACCTATATACCCTTCCCACTAATGTGGTGTAGGGTATAATTATAAACGGAATTACAAACTTATAAATATGTACCATTCTCATGAAGTTGAAGGGTATAAAAATAAGAAATATTTAAGCTCTTGGGCTATTAAGGGTTAAATAATTGTTTTTTTTTTTTTTAATATACCTTGACTTAAAATATTTTTATAGTTCAGAGTAAGCATAATAAATTTACTTAAATTTTCATACAGATTTCAAATTCAAACGTAATTTTTTCCCTGTAAACTCCATTTGTAGAATAACATCCCTGCGGGATATGTCATTAGTGAAACTGTATTGATTTACTATTGACACAGTTACCAGTACTAGTGACTTATTATATGGCATACAATGCTTTCTACTATAGACATTTAACATGTGCGTGAAAATCAACTACTGACTTTAGTACTGTTGACTAGGTTCTTCTTTTGCGACCATATGTAGACTTTGGAGCTTAGAATCGTTTTCTGAGTCGATTAAGCTATGTCCGTCCGTCTGGCTGACTGGCTGTCCATGTAAACTTTGTGCGCAAGGTACAGGTCGCAATTTTCAAGATAATTGGATGAAATTTGGCACGCACGTTTTATTTGACCCAAGGACGAAGCCTATTGAAAATGGTTAAAATCCATTATTCCATTATTTCACCTAGCCCCCATAGAACAGAACCCCCCGAAAAGGGCTTCTGAGCTCATAATTATGTTAAATATACAGATATATCGATAAAATACGGCACAACTAAGTTTGAAAGAAGTCTTGATGACCCTGCCAAATTTCATAAAGATCGGGCACCATTTGACCCTAGCTCCCATACAAAGTCCCCCTCAGAGAATTACTTGAATGTCCCAAATTAACTTATAAACACAAATATCGCGATGAAATTCAGCACAATAAAATATTATGCGAATATAAATATATTCACAAAATTTTATCGGGCTTGGTCCATATTTGCCCCTAGCCCCCATATAAAGCCTCTTTTAGAAAATTAGTTTTTCCTCAATAAATTGCTTAAATGTATCGGAACAAGGGAATATTGAAGATAAATGCTTTATTATGAAAAATAAATCACATTTAATATTCATAACTGGTGTAGGGTATCATATGGTCGGCCATGCACGACTATACTTTCTTACTTGTTTTTGATAGTAAATAGCTAATAAAAATGCTAATTTTGTTAAAATTTCATATATTTTATTAAAAAAAAATAAAAAGGTTCGAACTCATTTAGAAACATGCATTTTTTAAATAACTATTTTATAGCAATCGAAAATGTCGAAAAATGTTTAAAATATTTTAAAGTTAATAAATATTTTGCAAATTATTTTCAAGTTTATAAAAACAAAGTTGAAAGAGAAAGTGTTATATGTAAAGAAATTCACTTTCGGTATATATTTGCTCATAAAATGGACCACTTCCGAATATCATAAGTTAAGCGTAAATTTGCGGAATTCTTATAAAAATAAAAATTATCATTCATATGTGTATAATACAGAAAATAGTATGGTATAACTACAGTTTATTTGTTGTAGAATATCGAAAAGTTTTATCTATGTATTTACTTCTTTTAAATCTTACAAATAAAAGCATGAAAAGATAACTACTGAAACCTTTGACAGTAAAACAATATGCAGATCTGCTTTTCTTCTTTAGATGGCAGTTCAAAAAAAATTGTTTGCATTGAATATACCCATAAACTAATAGACTTACAAACCAACAATTGGTCGTTCAAAAAATTCCAGAGTCATTTTTAGTATTATTTCATAAAAGTCTAAAAAAAGTTAAAAACCCCAAAGATTGAAAAACGACAAAGATTGCTGGAAAAAAAACATATTTTTCCGAAAGAAATTGAAAAGTTTTTTTCTCAGTTTGTTGTTGCTACCATAAAGGCAATTGTTCAACAGGAGCAACAAAACTGAATAATATCACAATGGTGTATAAGTGTTGGTTTAAACGTGAATGGTGTAATTGTGTATGTGTATTGAAATTGCTTTTTGGATGAATTTTTTGTCCTTTTTTTTTGAGTTTTTGTACGTGATTCTGTAGGGACCAACATGTATACTTACATATATATTATTGTTGTTGTTGCTTTACTTATATTTTGTTTTTGTAAAATATTCCTACGCGACTTTATTAAATTTACGTGTTTTTGTGTATTGTGTGGTTGTTTATTTGTTGTTGCTTTCTCTTGTTTGTTGCCTTAATGTCGTTTTGTTTTTAAGGCCGGAAGTGAGGTTTTTCCTTCTGCCCTTTTTTGCTTTATTCCTATTTTTTTTAGCGACAACGACAGCATTTTTAATATTATGTTGTTGTTTTTACATTTAATTTTACGCTTTTTTTTTGTTTTCTTCTGCATGTTTATTTTAGTTCCGTTCGTTTTTTGTCTATATATTTGTTGGATGCTAATTAAATTTTTATAGCAATTTAGACCAAACTAATTATGAGTTTATTAAATTACATTTGTTTTTTCTTTCGATGGTGTGTTAATTGAAAATTATTAAGTTCTTTTTCTTTTGCATTTAGGTTTGTTTCTTTTTTAATAAATTTTCTTTTAAGGGCCAAATTATTTTGTTAAATATTTTTATAATTTACGTTTATAAAATTTGTAATTTAAATTTTTTTTGTTTAGTTTAATTTCATTCAAAATTTAACCCCATTGTATTTTATCAAAAGTTTATGAAATCGGAATATAATATATTGTATATGACGGAATGTTTGTTAGATTTCTTCTAAATACATATCTTGTTATTTTAAATTCATAATTCATCATTTTATTTCAAAATCCCTTAAGCGTAATTAGTTTTATTTGTCGCTAATTAAAAAAATCAAATATTTATTAAATAATATAAAATTTTACGTCATAATAAACAAATAAAAGAAAATCTCAAAATTTCTCTTCGGTCATGCAAAATAATAAAAACAAAATTAGTTTTTTTTTAATAATAAGTAAAAATAAGGACAAAAATTTAAATTTAATTTTCCACCCTAACTGGTAGACATACACATACCTGAGGGAAATTTAATTCTTTGAAAATTTAATAAAAATAAAACTTCAAGTACTCAGACATTGTTACTGAAAAAAAAAAAAACACAAAAGATAAAAGCTCCAACAAACAGAAACATGAGTAATAGTACCAGAAACTGACTTGTTACGAATAGAACATGACTAAATGACTTTCACAAGGAAAATGAGACGAGAATCATAAACAATGTTGTACAAAGTGCCTGACTACTTAAATTATAAACTGGCAAGGGATTATGATCTGGAAGATGTGGGTAATGTTGGCCATAATCACTTATTTAGGGGGCGGTAGCTGCGAGATTAAATATTCCTTGTAGTTGATTTTGTACATTTCCTACTACAAATGGTGCTAAAATATTGATTTTCACTGAAATATTTGAGAATGTAAAACATTTTATATATTAAATATTGATGACGATGATATTAAATTCCTGGTAAAGGAAGGAAAAGTTTTAATAATCAAAAAGTTGTTGTGGTTATTTTTAATATACTTTAGCTTAATGAAGTTACCATAAAAGTTCCGTAGGGAATTTGGTAGAAAAAAAATATAAGTTAATAAAAATGTAAATTTAATTGAAGGTTATTTATAGAATATTTAGTATTTTATAGAAAAAAATTAAACTTTACATCTAGTTTAAAAAAATTCTAGCTAGAAACTAATTTTTACTATTCTCTTCATTTTTTTCAGGTTTAGCAGGCTTACGCCTTATCAAAGTTTCAATACCCGCCTACAAACTAAGAGGAGAGTCAGCATTTCTCGAGTGTCAGTATGAGCTAAACAAGTCGAGGGGGACGATCGGTGGAACACAAAGCAGAAGTAGACACAATTACAACAATCACCATCACTATCAGCGTGGCGGTGGAGCAACAAATATGAATTATGTGGATAATAATGACTCACAGGGTGAAGATGAGGTGACAGCTTATAGGCGTATGCGTACACAGCAACAACAAATGCAGCAACAGCCTTATCGAAGACAGCCCTATTATCAACCTTTAGTGCAAGCCTATCAAGGACAATGGCAGGGCGGAAGTGGCAGCAGTAGTAGTGGTAGTAGTAGCAGCATAGGTAGTGCAAGTGGGAGCATAACAACACATACAGGCACTTATTATCAGCAACAATATCCTTATCACTCACAACAACAGCAGCAATCTTATTATACGCAACAATATGAACAACCTGAATATCAACAGCACACACCACCGCCCTCACCTTACGGTCATAGCATCTATCGGGGAAGAACACAAACATCATCATCTTCCTCCTCCTCCTCTCTGTCTTCCTCTTCTATTTATCACAATAAATATGGTGGTAGTGTTGGAGGTGTTGGTGGCGGTCATGTTGGTGCCAGCACACATACTGGCAAAACTTATATAAGTTCTAGTGGTGTCATTGGTGGCACCAGTAGTTTTGCCCATCATCCTGAACGTGGCGATGATAGTAACGCCGACAGCCATGAAAAAGACCATGCGGATGATGTAGACGATAATACGAATGAAGATGAAGACGAGGAGTCTGACAACGAGGGCGTATTCGATAGGGAACATGACGAAGAAGAAGGCGAAGATTTATATGCCATTAAATGGTACAAGGATAATGAGGAATTCTATCGTTATGTGCCAAAAGCAAATCCACCAAAAACCAGTTACAGAGTCGATGGTGTAAGAGTTATTGTAAGTATGAGATATTATTTTAGAAACAAAGTAAAATCCTGGTTGAAAAAGGAAATTATATTTTATGCCAAAGATAAAGCACACATTCTAAAAACAAACACAGACATTGTGTTGGAGACATACATACATACATACATACTGAACATATATTCATGCTCACAGACACATTGTAGAAAATACTATAAACAGACAGGCAAATAAACGACCATTATGGTAAAGGGAAACTGTAAGTGTAAAAGGTTTAATACACTCAAGAAAAAATATTGCAATAAATTAGCTTTAGAAAGAAATCTAGTCTTGAACATAAGATAAACAATTAGGTCGATTGTACATGCCCCTTGCCCTATAGACAATACGTACGAGAGCCTATTACAACCAAATTTCTAAGGACTCCCTATTCGATTTTTTAACACAAGTTTGATTAAATTCATCCTGTTGCTCTCTAGGGTTCTTCATAGCATTTTTAACAACTGATTCATTTACAATTACTGAATCGTTTATAAATTATATAGCGAAATTCCAAATGTATGTTCCAAATTTCAGCAATTACTTAAGCACTTTCAAATATGGTACATGGAACACAGTAGTCGTTAAAAAGTGTGTAACAGCGATACTATTATTTTTTGTTACTTTAACAGGATTTCTTAAGGTGTACAATAAGTATTAAAATTAAATGAATTTCCTGAATCCACAGCTATGCTTAAAGTTGTTTTTAAATGTTGCATATTTTAGGGGTGGAAGTAACTGATAATTATGTTTGTCTTTAAATAAAACCAAGAATAAGAAGATTTATGAGTAATAAACAATTTCTATTAATATTAAATTTACCTGAGTTAGTTTATGCAAAAAATAAACTATAAATAGAAAACATGGTTGTTTGTTTTTCAAAGAGTAAAGGAAGTTAAATAACAAGTAAAAATCGTCTTAATAAATTTAGGTTACTAAATAAATAATTTTAGGAATTTAAATAAAACAAATTCAAAGAAATATTTTATATGTACGCATGTTTTACTTGTTAAACAGGATTTTATTTACGTTTCAGAATAATCATTAAAAATAATAATTAAAGCTAAAAGGATACATACAAAAATATACTAATATAATTTCCACAGTTAAAATAGAATATTTATTTTAATTTTTACAAAAAATATTACACAATTTGAAAGTAAACTGCTGAAGTTCAGATCAATTGCGGCTTAGATTCTTAATATTATTATTAAAATTTGTATATTCTCAGTTCTACTAGTAACTGTTACAAATATTAGGAATATATCCTTTTTTGATATATCTACGTGTATTTTTTTCTTTACAGGAGGAACACTCTGACAGTACAAGAGTTTTATTACGTGGTCTAACCATAAATTCAACAGGCTTATATCGTTGTGAAGTATCTGCTGAAGCACCAAACTTTTCATCCGTTCAAGGTGAAGGTCGAATGGATATTGTGTGTAAGTAGCAATTAAGATAGGATTCTTAAAAATAATTGTTAAGCTTAAGATATTTAAGGTCTTGTTCATAAACAAATCTATATTTTATAAACGGTTTATAAATCAAATTTGGGATTTTTTAACACGTGGCTCAAAGTTTAAAATTTGATTAAAAAATATGCACAGGAGCGACATATTCATAAAATGTGACATCTTTTTCATACCAAAATGATTTATCCAAGCGCTTTCCCAAAATATTAAAATCTTTGATGTCGCATGAGAAAGACCTCTAGTCTACCGGAACTATAAACTGGTGATGTAATTTCACTCCCTGGCTAGTCCTTGGATGATTTGAAAAGGGGTCTAACCAGAGCACCACATAATCTGGTACTACGGGTGGCCAGGTTCCTTCGGGATCCACGTATTGTCTGTGGTTCAAACCTAAATCGCAGGAAGACGGTGCTTGGTTAATAGATTGATACACGGTGAAATATAATTTTCATAACGAAATTCTGTTATCGTTCCTAGATTCTAGGAGCGTTACAAACAACATAGCATGACTGTGGATTAATAAAATGTTGGATTTGAGCTGATAATGCAAGGATTGGGTATACGAGGTGGTGCTTTTGATGATTATTCGATGGATTTGACGGACGGAGGTGATGTGCTGAACTAAGGATTGACAAAACGGAGTGTGGTGCATGGTCGTCACTGCCCTTTCTTTAATTTATCAGCAATTTTCCTTCATGGTTGCGTGTATTGGACTTTACTCTAAAACATGCTCAACTTATTACAGTGGGTCTTTGTGGCCACTGAAATAAGTATTGTCAATTAAAATGATCCGTGTTTCGCACTACCAATTACGCCCCCTAGGTGCTACTGCCGAATCATCAGAGCCATTTCAGTAGTGTGCTTGGGCGACATATAAGGTTTTCCTTTGTCGGGGTTAGATTAAACTTGCTCATGACACCTGTCCTTCCCTAACGGGCCTACTATGGGAAGAGATTAGATAGCTCGAGTACTTGAGCAAAGTGCACGTATACTGGAACGGACATCCATAAACGTAATTTGCCACCGGCGTGTAAGAAGCACAATGGGGCGGTGGGGAGTCGTTACTTTTAGCTCACCCAGTGGTTGAAAAATACCACCGTGTGTGCTTTTAACTCAACTTAATGATATAATTACTTAATCTAGAGAGAACACTTGAAATTTTTTCTATACTGTTCTGTAGCAGTAGTTTCAACTCTATACTTATAAGTACCACATTACACATTAAATTGTCCATTTACAATCGATGTGATATATGTTTATTTTCTGGATAATATCAATTGGACTTTCAGCCAGAACTATTTTAGGACAGCCTGCTCCTACATACATACATATATACATTAGGTTGTCCCCAATATAAAAGTTGCTGATAATTCGAACTAAAATTAATGTTTAAAAAAGTCGAAAAATTGGTGCAAATATTTTCGGTAGAATTTGAAATAATTTAAATATTTTTTGTAAAACTTTAAACCATTTTTCGAAAATTTATAAAATTTCAAATATTTTTGACACACAAAATATTTCACATAAGTACCTGTTTAAAAGCGTTTCCAAAAATATTTATCCCTTAATCCAGTTCACAAATATTGACGTTAGGACAAACATTTTTAGAAACATACTCTTAAATTCATTTAAGCTTTCATTTGAGTAGAAAACATTGGCAATGATTATTTTTGGGGCCACCCTAATGTACATGTGTCTACGTAGTAAACAAACATTTCTATTTAACGAAAAGTTCAAACAGCGTAATCAAGTGATTTTAGGGCTTCATTTAAACCACTTGTTTATGCGTGTGTGTGCCTGGTGTATTGAGCGCTATATTTGTAACTTCTATCTTCATAAGATACACTTTGTCTATTTTTGTGTATTTCAACATGATTTTCGTATGGCAAACTAATCACTTTTAATAATGTTTATGGATTACTGAGTTTTCGACAGCAAAGCAACGAAAAAAACGACTCAAATTCAAATCACGTTCTAAAGTTTGTTGTTTTTTAGTTTCAATCTCTGTTGATTTTGGTTTAGATTAAATTTAAAGTATAGAAAAATGTATACTATAAAAAAATGTTGACCATTTAATGCCTTTAATAAGGAAGATCAAAAAAGTACTGTTGATGGTGTGGTTTGTAATCGATGTTATTTTGGTATGGAATTTATGGATGGACATGTCCATTGGATTAGAAAGTATTCGGGCATGCCCAGAAAATAAACACTTCTAGTGAAAAGTTTTCTTAATAAAATTTTTAGTGAAATTATTTTAAAAGTTAGAGGCAAATTTACATAAATTTGGTTAAAAATATTTAGTGGTATAAAGAAAATTATTTCGAATAATATAAAAAAACAAGCTGTTATTTTTAAGGATTATAAATATTAAATTTGATGAATATAAATGATTTTTATAAAACCATTAAAAGTTTAAGAAATTATTATCTTTAGTTTTGTTGTAATATTATGTCAAAAACTTTGAAGTCAGTGATAATTCTAAACAAAATACTTTAACAAGTAGAAAATTATAACCCAACATGATTGACAATATATGCATTACTAGCATACCCTGGGTACTTCGCTACCCTAACCACAATTAAATACATACAAAATTTTGTTTACTTTTATAGAAAATTAAAATTGATTAAAAATTATTTAATGTTTCAGTTTTTTACGTTCAATATCACGTGAATAAATTCGCATTCAGGAAGAAGCTTGTATTTTTAGTTTCATTCGTTTAGCTTTAACATTATAGAAAACCTCTTCCTCTTATAGATTCTCATTTAATTAAAAATTGTATGTTTCTGTGTTCAATATTATATACAAGTACCAAAAGTCCCTTTCAGTAGATTCTCATTTACTAAGGTCCCTATATTTTAGATTTTATATTTCTATGTTCAATATCGTAAAAATATTTGATATACCATCGGCAAAACGAAAAAGTACAAAAATCTCTCTCAATAAATTTTCATTTAATAAGGACCGTGTGTCATGTGTTCCGGTTAACCATTATAGAGAATCAAAAAAATATCATTTGAAGAATGAAAAAGTACCAAAGAGTTCCCACTTACAGAAAATTATTCAGTCCAAGACCATGTATGTTAAAATTTATGTTCCTAGGTTGAATATTTTAGAAAATTCAAAAAGTACCTTTTATGCGATAAAAATTACTAAAAAGTTCTCTCTTAAAGAAGTTTATTCAATAAGGATCGTGTATGTTTAATAATCATGTGTTTTGAATTCATATTATAGAACATACAAAGAGTATCATTTGAAGAAAGAAAAAGTACCAAAAGTGTAATAAATTCTGCCTTAGTGGAAAGTTCTAATAAAAATAGTACAATTTTTCCCTTTTCGCTTAGAAATATACTTTTTTAAGAAATTAGTTTACAAAATGTTGCGTATTTATATCTATATCACAGATAAAACTCAAACGATTCAAATCTGCATTTGTTCCAAAAAAAATGTGACTTCAAAAAGTACCAAACAATTTACTCGAATTTGATCTTTTATAGGTCTTAGTACTCGAATTCCAAAATAATATACCAATAGCTTATTTTGTGTGAGTAACTAAACTACTTTTTCAAATTTTATAAATGTTGGCTCAATAAGTTTTAATAAAATTAAATTTCCCGTTTTTTCCCCTTTTTGGTACTTTTTTCCTCAGTGAAATAGCAAAAATTTTGTTTCAACAAATATTACAGATTTAGTTTGTTATTTGATAGGAATACTTCAATAAATCGAAAAAATTTTCTAATGTGATAAAAAAAAGTACCAAAAATACAGTTTTCTCCATTTTATACCCAAAAAGGACTGAGTTTTTAAAAAGTACGAAACAGGTGTCTCATAATTTTGGGTGATATATTCAAAATATTTACAAAAATGTTATTTTGTTTATTAGTTAAAAAGTTATAAAGGGCCAAAAAGGTACCAAAATCACCTTTGTTACACGTTTTCATTCCTTAAAAGTACGAATTTCAAAATAGTACCAGACACCCGTCTGCTTATTTTAAGAGTAGATACATGTGCATTTAAAATTTTTCATGCATCAATAATATTAGGTAATATAATTAAGAAAACCTGTTTTACCCGTTTTTTTTTCCTTTTTTACCCCTAAATGTACAAATCTACATAAGCAAAAACACATCTACTGTCAAAATTCTACGTTCAGCCGTTTTGGCTGTGCGATGATGAATCAATCAGTCAGTAACGCTACTCTCTTATATATATAGATAGTACACTCAAAGGCTTAGAATGGTAGTCATATATAAATGTATGTATTCTTTGAGATCGATATATCTAGAACCAATGTTTTTGGTTATACATATACTTATCAGATATTTCAACAATATTTTGTTTTGTCCCACAGTGGGCTGTCTAAGTTCTCTTACTCGGTAACAATCATGATTCAAATGTGTTTTAAAATATCTTCTTGTATTCTTTAAATTCCCTGATAAGTATTATTTTTAAAAAAGCACATAAAAATTTTCATACTTTTCCATCTGTTGATAGTCATTTTATTTATAATTCACTTCTTTTTTGTGTATCTTTTTATCGTATAGATCTACCACGTGATGGTCCACATATCAAAGGACAACAATTTCAATATCAAATTGGTGAAACATTAAATTTAAATTGTTCTTCAGGGAAATCTCATCCAGCATCACATTTACAATGGTTTATCAACGACCAAGCGGTAAGTAATTGCAACTATTTAACTATAGATATACACACGTTCAGAGATGAGGATATGGATTTTAGACATGTATTTTATTTAAAAAATATACTAAGTATGCAAATAACTTCTTATAGTTTTTAAAGGGGCCAATGTATCCCTTTAAGATAGTTTTAATTAATTCAAAATTTAAATCAAAAAGGACTTCAATTGTTACTCTAGTGAGCTTTAAAATTTGTAATCAAAGTTACGTATGGTTGTAAATAGATAAAGTTTAATTGTGTTCCCACTCAAACTACAGGGTTATGTTCAACATTTTTTCATAAATATCTAATACAAATATAATATATTTATTTATATTTTGGAACGTGTTAGTAAATAATTTTAGTACTGGTATTGCGAAAGTAGTTTTATTTTCAGTACTGTTAGCACCAATGCTACAAAAAACTGAATTTTTCAACATAAGAAAATGTTTACTGTATCCAGGTAAATATATATGTATATGTAAATTGGCTATTATTTTTTAGTTCTCTTATTTCTATCTCTTCTTTATAATATTCAGTATAGAATACAAGTAAAAATAAGTGGAAAAATAACAAAAATTAGAGCTGTGTTGTTAAGGGAAACCAAATCAGTTGGGAAACTACAAAATTTTCTATAAGAAATGGGAAAATATAAAAAATATATGTATATGTATATGTGTGTATAAGTATCGCTTCTTATAAAATATTAAACTGAGATGTAATAAGATAGCTTCGTAAAATTCACTTGAAAAATAACCATGAGTAGCTTTTTATTCTGAATACATTTAAGTATTAAATTGTCTAAAAGTTTTATTTAAAATAACATATTTGTACATTTATGTTTGTTTAGAGGGCTCAATTAAAGAAATATTTGAAGCATGAAAATATATATATAATTTTTTTTTTTAACTATAGATTATATATTTTATAACACAAAGAAACGTTAAGCCTCCATTATGATAATATTAATCGATTTAGAATTGAATACATATGTGTTATTAATAGGCAAAATTGTTGCTGACTGAAATTCTATAAGCCTCCTACAAAACGTAACGATCTGTTCACAATTGTTCATCTCTTTTAATTTTCAAAAATCATAATATATAAAAAATGTTTAAAAATGCAAGAAAAAACTTCCTTTTTTCAAATGCTTTAACAACATTTTTGAACTGTATCAAAGGACAAATGTGTTATTTTTTAAAGTTTTCCCAAATTTCATACCTCACGCAGAGAAATATAAAATTTTAATTTCATGCGATACATACATACGTATGATTAATATATGTATATGTAAACACATATTATTAATCATACGTACCGTTGATCTTATAGATGACAGACTAAGCCTATATTTTGCACAATATTAACAAATTATTTAAAAATAATACAAAAATCCTTTAGTTGTTAATTTCATTTGCTTTATTCAAAATGCATTTTTGTTTTTGTTTAAATTTTCAAGAATTACCTAAAAATTTTACCAGAAAATCAATAAAAATACATATAATAAAGTCAATGTTCATAATATTACATAGAAAACCAAACAATTCAACCATAATGAATTTGAATTACAAATTGAATTTATATCGAAATACTGGACATAAAAAATCAAACAATAATCATTATTAAGCAAAGTTTTGTCAAAAAAAAAAAAAAAAGTTCTAAAGTAAAACAATTTGTAAATGTGAGTGTTTTTTATGGGATAGTAGCAAATCCCTTAGACGTTATAGTAACAAACAATACATAAGCAACAAAGCAAAACGTACAAGACAACCAGAACCAGCACTCTCTTGCTGCTATTGTGATAACTGCTCCAGAGATTTTACAATTATCATAAGCCAAAAGGCAGCAATACAAATTAGAGAAAAAAAAAAAAATAAAGAAATGAAGAAAATATACCAAGTAATAAAGAAATACACTAATCGAATGTGCAATGATTTGAAAAACAAATTAAAGCCAAACAAGGTAAAACTTCTCTCATTCATTTATTATGTTTAGTATTTTTACTTTTCCACTTCTTCATCTCCATCACCAATGTAAATGGTAATGGAAAAAATCAATCAAGCATAATATAAATTAAAACAACTAAAAACTAAATTTCTATACATGTTAATAGCTTTTACAAGTATATTTGTTCAACTTATTACTTTAAGAAATAATCTGTGGTACAATACAGACAACAATATTTTGCTTACAATATACAATAATGGCAACTTGTTAAACAAAAACAAGTAAGAGTGCTATATTCGGCCGTGCCGTATCTTATATACCCTCCATCAGTCATGTGTCTTAAATTTCAAGAGAATTTCGGAAAATTGACCTACCTATACTGTATAGTACGATGTTTTTGCTACCACAATGTAAACATCTATTGGATTTTTTCAGAACTGGTTTATCATATATAAATACATAGTAATATGATGGTATTTTATCATATTTAATAAATTTTTTTTTAATATTTTAGTTTCCTGTAAATTTACTTATGGTCAATTTTGAACCGATCCTTCGAAGATTTTACAAAGATTTTGGTTTAAGTAAAACTTATTATGTGGAATATCAATGCTTTCTAAGCCTTATATGAAGGCTTTGATACAATATGGCCCGATGCTCATAATATTTGACAGATAGCTTTTAGATCCTATAATACTATGTAGTTCATGACGAATTTTATCGATATACTGGTACTTTTGAGCCAGTTATGGCCGTTAATGTCATTCTATGAGAAAGGCCGTTTATAGATGATAAGAACGATGTTCCTATAAAACCTGTTTATGTCGAAATTCATTGCTTTACTATAATTTTGAAGAAGTTGTTTATGTCGAATTTCGTTACTGAATTTCGTGGTTTCCATAAAATTTGAAAGCAAATTATGAACTGGGCGGTAGATTAATTATGGGTCGACCTCCATAAAATTTGGCAGAGTGGTTTTAGTTCTCCGAAAACTTGTTTACGTCGAATTTAGTTGCTTTACTATAATTTTACAGCAAGTGATGAGCGTTATTGTTATTTTATGAGGGAACCTTTTATAGGGGGTAGGTTAATTATGAACCAATCTTTATATAATTTGGCAGATAGATTTTAGTTCCTCTAAAAGTTATTTATGTCGACTTTCGTTGATTTACTGGGATTTTTAACAAAATTATGAGATTTAAAGTAATTTTCTGAGGGGAACCTTATATGTAGGGTAGGATCCATAAAATATGGGGGAGATATTTTAGTTCCCCAAAAACATGTTTATCTTGAATTTCGTTGCTTAACTATCATTTTGAAGCAAGTTATAAGAGTTAAAGTCATTTACTGAAGGGGAGCTTATATGGGGGGTATTTACGTTTCCCTAAAGCTTGTATATGTTGAAATTTGAAAGCAAATTATGAACTGGGTGGTAGATTAATTATGGGTCGACCTCCACAAAATTTGGCTGAGAGGTTTTAGTTCTCCGAAAACTTGTTTACGTCGAATTTCGTTGCTTTACTATAATTTTACAGCAAGTGATGAGCGTTATTGTTATTTTATGCGGGAACCTTTTATCGGGGGTAGGTTAATTATGAACCAATCTTTATATAATTTGGCAGATAGATTTTAGTTCCTCTAAAAGTTATTTATGTCGACTTTCGTTAATTTACTGGAATTTTTAACAAATTTATGAGATTTAAAGTAATTTTCTGAGGGGAACCTTATATGGGGGTAGGATCCATAAAATATGGGTGAGATATTTTAGTTCCCCAAAAACATGTTTGCCTTGAATTTTGTTGCTTAACTATCATTTTGAAGCAAGTTATAAGAGTTAAAGTCATTTACTGAAGGGGAGCTTATATGGGGGGTATTTACGTTTCCCTAAAGCTTGTATATGTTGAATTTCGTTACATTGCTATCATTTTGTAGCAAGTTATGACAGCTATAGTCGTTTTCTGAGAGGGACCTTATATGGGGGGTAGGGTCAAATATGGGCCGACCCTCATAAAATATGGGGGAGATATTTTAGTTCCCCAAAAGCTTGTTTACGTTTATTTATAAGAGTTAAAGTAATTTTATGACGGGGAGCTTATATGGGGGGTAGAGTCAATTGTGGGCCGGTTTAGCGAAGATATCTCTGTTCCCCTAAAACTTGTATATGTCGAATTTCGTTGCATTGCTATCATTTTGAAGCAAGTTATGACCGCTATAGTCGTTTTCTGAGAGGGACCTTATATGGAGGGAAGGGTCAATTATGGACCGATTCTCGTAATATTTGGTATGAAGATTTGGCTCATATAAAAATTGATAATGTAGAATTTCATTGACATACTTATGTTTTTAAACCGTCTGTGACTGTTTACACAGTTTTTTCGGGTGGCCACATGTATGGGCCTAGCTAGGCTCATATTTCCCTTTAAAAGTCGATTTTTTGGTCAAAAAAAATTTAGAAAACTAAAACTAACTTCGTTTAAACACATTTAAAAGGAAAAATAGGTTAAAAATTTATCTTTTTTTAGCAAAAATCTTAAGAAAACTAAAATCGCTAATAACTTCGTTTAAACACATTTAAATGGAGAAATAAGCTTATTTTGTGATCACTCACGTTTTCCTTTAAAAGTCGATTTCTTGGTAAAAAAAAAAAACCTAAAATCGCTAATAACTTCGTTTAAACACATTTAAATGGAAAAATAAGCTTATTTTTAAGCAAAAATCTTAAGAAAACTAAAAACGCTAATAAGCTTATTTTGTGATCACTTATATTTTCCTTCAAAAATCGATTTTTTAGCATAAATCTTAAGAAAACGAAAATCGCATAAGTCGATTTTTTTTATCAAAAAACTTTAGATAACTAAAATCGCTTATAACTTCGTTAAAACACGTTTAAATGGAAAAATAAACTTATTTTGTGATCACTCATATCTTCTTTCAAAAATCGATTTTTTGGCCAAAAATCTTACGAAAACTAAAATCGCTTATAACTTCGATAAAACACGTTTAAATGCTGATTTTGTGATCACTCATACTTTCCTTCAAAAATCGATTTTTTAGCATAAATCTTAAGAAAACGAAATAAGCTTATTTTGTGATCACTCATATTTTCTTTCAAAAATCGATTTTTTGGTCAAAAAACTTAAGAAAATTAAATCGCTTATAACTTCGTTAAAACACGTTTAAATGGAAAAATAACCTTATTTTGCGATCACTCATATTTCCCTTAAAAAATCTATTTTTTTTTAGCAAAAATCTAAAGAAAACTAAAATCGCTTATAACTTCGTTAAAATACGTTTAAAAGTTGATTTTTTTTT